TGGATTAAATAGAATTAATTCAAAATTCAAGGGCAAAATTATAACGGGTAACCAAAATGAATTATGTATCAAAACTCCAAGGACAACGAAAATAATTTAAGAATTTAGTAATTACACATAGGTCCACCTATAAATAGCCCAAAACTCACATATTTCACTCATTTTCAACCATTTCTCACAATCAAACCCACAAAACAAAACTCTCTCAACTCTCCCCTTGACCGACCGAAAACTAGCCACCCACTGATGAGGCCCCGTCGCCCGAACCGTCGCTCCGGCCACCGTCACCGGTGCCTAGAAAACCTAAACCTACCCCCCGAATACTCCTCTCAACACCCCGATACCGAACCTGAGCCCCAAATTTTCTATAAAGCCCCCAAACAGCGTAGATCTGCATTCAAAGTTTTGACTTTTACTTTTCTCGATTACGACCTTTCGTATTCCAACGATTGTTCCTCCTCCGAGCTACGACTGAACTTACTCCTTTCTTTTTTGTGATTCTTTTTTTGGTTGTTTTGCGAGATGCTTTGCTCAATTTTTGTTATGTTTACATGCTTGTTTTTCTGTGTTAAGACTTCGTTTTGCAGGGTTTATATAACCCCTCGACAGAGGCTCTTTCGGGGATTATTTCTGAATATGAAGGGGTTATTTTCCCCGTTTCTTGATTTGTTTGGACTTGGGTATATATTTCCCCCTCACCAAAAATTGTGGAAGATCCTTTTTGTTTGCTTCGATTCTATTGCGATTTTGTATGATTTGGCGTGTAGTAGTTGTGTTGTTCCTTTCACCGGCGTGTGAGAATAACTCGTCGTTATTGGTCGCTCCTGATGAATTCTGGCCGTTAAATCAAGTGGCCAGATTCAACAGCTCTTGTGCAACTGCGTATTTGCTGAATATTTTAGGGTTTCAAACCACTATTTGATATACGCTCTGAGTCGTTGATCGAGGTTTGATCCTACGGCTGGAAGCGTGCGACGTTGGGATTTAAATGTAGAACCCTAACTCGCTGGATCAGGTGACTTGGGCTTCTTCCTGATGGGCTCACTCCGGGTTTGTTTGTTGGGTTAGGCTTGCATACTCGATTGGGCTTCCTCATATCCTTGCTGGATTGGATTCTGATTGGACCTGGATTTGGACCTAAACAAAAGTAAAAATAAAAAAAATAAAAATAAAAATAAAAATAAAAATGAAGTAATAATAATAAATTGTATACTATATATTTTTCAAAAACTATATAATGTATTATATTTTCAAACACTACGTTTCAAAAAATGTTTATTTTCAAAATTCTAATATGCTTTCAAACATTATATATATTATATATATTTTCAAAAGTTATATAATATATTTTCAAAAACTATATTATATATTTTTCAAAAACTATATTATATATATATATATTCAAAACCACATATATATCTCGTGATGGTGAGGTTGTTGAATAGCAATGGCCTACTTTCAGGATTTATTTTCTGCCACAGCTCCGATGATTAATGAGGGGCTTCTTACTGGTATAAACAGGTGTATTTCTCCTGAAATAAATGTTAATTTGCTTATGGATTTTTCTATGGAATATGATAGTTATGCGGTTGGTTCTATTCACCCGACGAAAGTTTCTAGAGAAAATGGGTTGGAAGTGTTATTTTACCAACGTTTTTAGTATGTGATTGGGAGTGAAGTTGCCTCTTATTGTATTGGAGTCATTCGGGGGCAGTATGATGTTTCTGAAATCAACCATACACATATTGTGTTGATCCCAAAAGTGGAAAATCAGAAGATGATGAGCCAGTTTCGCCCTATCAGTCTTTGCAACGTTCTCTTTAAAATTATCTCAAAAATGCAAGTTCACCATATGCAACTCCATTTGAATTTGTGCATTGATGAGGCACAAAGTACTTTCATTCTAGGACGACTGATCACGAACAATGTCATAACAGCATATGAAATGCTTCACTCTTTTCAAGCTCGCCGAATGGGTCGGTTGGGTTTCTTTGCTTTGAAACTTGATATGAGCAAAGCTTATGATATGGTGGAATGTAATTTTCTTTGGGGCTTGATGGATAGAATGAGGTTTACGCGGGTTTGGATAGATTGTATTCGAAGATGCTTGGTTTTGGTATCTTATTTGGTGTCATGAATGAGTTCCCTAGTGAGTCCTTTTCTCCCCAGTGTGGTCCTCATAAAGGTGATCTACTCAGCCCGTACTTGTTCCTTATCTGAAATCAAGGTCTATCCGCACTTTTTAGGAATGAGATTGCTTTGGTTGAGTTTAATGGGGTTCGACTGAATTGTTATGCTCCCAGAATTTCACATCTGCTCTTTGTCGATGATTGTTTGATTTTTGGTGAGGCCACGGCTAGAACGGCGTTGAAGGTGAAGAATATTATTGTTATCTATGGGGAAAGTTCTGGTCAATTGGTAAACTTTGATAAATCGGGCGTTTCTTCAGCACCAATGTTACTGGTGATAAGAGGCGTGATGTTTGTCGTATCTTGGAGGTCTCTTCTTCGTCAAACCCTAATAAATATTTGGGTCCTCTATCCCTTATCGGTCGAAAAAACGAGGTGTGTTTGCTCATTTATCTGATAGGTTCCGAAGTCATATTGATACGTGGAGTATTCATTTTACAAGCAATACCATTATATGCTATGAATTGCTTTCTATTCCCAAAAGGGCTCTGTGAAGAGTTGAATAGTATTATGGCAAGATTTTGGTGGCAAAAATCTTCTGTAAAATGTGGGATTCATTAGTGTACTTAGTAGACGTTGTGTCAATTGAAGGACGGTGGTGGTTTGGGTTTCCGCCATTTTTCCAAATTCAGCATCGCTCTTCTCGCAAAGTAAGGCTGGAGGTTGTTTACAAATCCTTCTTCTTTGGTTGGGAGGTTGCTCAAAGCAAAGTATTATTCATCGAGTGATTTTATGAGTTCGAGACTCGGTTCTGCTCCTTCGTATATTTGGAGGAGTGTGTAGAGTGCGAGGAGTCTTCTTGAAAAAAGATTGAGATAGAAGGTTGGTACAGGTGCTTTCATCTCTATCTAAAATGATTTCTGGCTACCAAACCCAATTCCTCGATTAGTGGAGACTACTCGAGTAAATTTGGTTGAGCGTGTAATTGATTTAATTGATGTTGAGAGTCATAACTAGAAAGTTGATTTGATTGAGGAATTGTTTGAGGAAGAGGAGGCCAATTTGATCCTAGGTATTCCAATTCCAAGGACAAATCAGGGTGATTTCCATGTTTAGAGTGGGGAGAATGCGGGTGTTTACAATGTCTGAAGTGGTTATCGCTTGCTTTTAGGGGTTTATTCTATTTTCCATCTGATGAAAGCCTTGTTGTTGAAATTGTGGGCTATCACTTGTCAGCGAAAAATAAAATTATGAATTATATCCCCTCAATACAAAATCTATATTTTAAATGCATAGCCCCTAACACCTACTGTCTCTGTTGCTCGAGGGTGGTTGAGTTTGGAGTTCAAATTATTCGGGATTGTTAATTAGATCAAATGGTTTGGGGTTCTCTGTTATACTTCTGGCCTCTTTCGATTGGAGATTTAACGTTACCAGATTGGCTTGATTGGATGTTTAATCAGTATCCTCAATCAAAGCATAAAGAAATTCTAGTTACAATTTGGAGACTCTGGTTTTCTCAAAATCAATTTTATCATGAAGGAAAACAGACTAGAGTGGATGAGCTTGTTACCTGTGTAAAGGCTCATTTCTTGGAGTTTGTTGCTGAGAATGAGAAGGTTCATGGTTTTGAATAGTTGTGTGTTATCCAATGACAACCGCCTGTCTGCCCTTCAGTCAAGGTGAATTTCGACGCCAATATTTCACATGCACATAATCGAGCATGGTCATGTATTTGTGATAAGGGATTCTGATGGTTATATTTTGGGTGTATGTCGAAGAATGAGTTTGGGGATTACCTTCGCTTTCATGGATGAAGTTGTGGTTGCGGATCATGCTATCCAACTCGCGGTTCAGTTGGGTTTCAAGGATGTTATCTTGGAGGGAGATGCGCGTATTGTAATAGAGAAGTTATCCTCCTCGGCTCCATACTTAATGAAATCAGTCTGGTGCTCTGTAATGTTCGGCTGAGAGCCCATTCTTTGCATGCATGATCTTACTGGTTTATCCCTCGGTATGGAAACGAAGCCGCGCCCATCTACTGGCGACGATGTCGGATCTTGGAAATGATGACAGTTTTGGGGTAGAAGAAGCATCAACTCCAGTGGAGGTGAATCCATATGCTTATAGGAGATGGATCGACCCTTCTTAGGCCCTTTTCGTTTTGGGTGGTGTGAAGCTAATGATCTACTTTTTCATTTGGTGTTTTCCTTACTTGGTGCTTTCATCGTTGGTTCTTGGTTCATTGCAAGGATTGAAATGGCTAGCTGAGTCGTCCCCTGTTCTTTTCACTTTGTTTTCTCTTTTGTTTTGTGTTTTCTTGTCTTTCCTACTGCTCTTTATTGTGTTTTATTTTTTTTTTTGGGGTTTTTTTGCTGTTCGTTAGGAGCTGTGTTTGGTGCTGAACAGTTGGACTCTCTTTTCTCTTTTGTACTGTCTTTTGGTTTTTCTCAATGGCTAGCCGTTTTTTCTTCAAAAATAAAATCTTGAACAAATTTAAATAAAATGCAAATCCCTAAAAGCTAAACATTTTTTGTAACAAGCTAATTTGATTCGATTTATGTAATGAGCTAGTGGTAACTATAATTACGCTATTTCTTTCTTAGTAAAATAAACATGAAAATTTTGGTTAAATTAATTTTTCGATCATCGAACTAAAAAATCAATTCGATATAATTAATTTTATTCCAAATTTTAATTTGAGAAAAACATAAAATTAATTAAATTAATTTTGGATTTTTCGACAGATGATTCATCCTTGTTTACTACTTGATGTTGTTTTGTAAACCCAAGAGCATAGCCCAGAATATTCATTTGTAATATATTAATGAGCCCTCAAAGCTCTTAATAAAGCCCTATAGCAACGCTTAGAAGGAGAAAGGGCAGGCAGAAATCCTAACAATTGAGTTGCTGTTGAAGGGGACGATAAGATGACGCAGAAAGGAGATTTATTCAAAGGGAAAAAGAAGCAGAAAACAATCCCCCCTAATCGCCATGGAAAACTTCCTCACATCCGCAAAGGTTGCTTATACGTAAGCTTAATTTGTAAATATTTTGGTCCAAATGAGTATTTATAGATTTTTAATCTGATTGCTTTACAGGTAAGAGAGTCGTCAAGCCATCCAAGCAATCGAAAGAGATGGACGCTGATCGAGTAAACTCTCTCTCCTTACTGTCTTTTTTTACACTATTTTCTTCTCTGAAATTTTTGATGAATTTTGTTGTCTTGATCTTTCTCGTAATATGCTTCTGTTTTAATTGTAGACTTATGGCTTAATTTTGTGGTTCATGTTAGGTGAATTGATTCTCATTCATGAATAATTAATAAACCTTGGATTTAGTTGCTTATGTTTCTCTGTTTGCAATTGAATGCTTGTTTTAGTGGCTGTTTAACTTAAGTGGAACTGAATTCATTTGAGGGAGTCGATGTTGATTTGGAGAATTGGTTTCGAATTTGAGCCTACCTGTTGGCAGGGATGGAACAACAGATACCTTGGTCTAATAGCTTTTTAGGCCCTTATTTTTTTGGTTTAAATACTTAATAGGTCCCTTTCTAAAGTTACACAATTTGGTCCTTCCCAAAGTTCGATTCTTGTTCCCTCCCTGTTGGGAGGTAAGTGAGTTTTTGTATTCATGGATTATATATATAATAAGCTCTATGGTCCAGTTCATCTACAACACATACAATTAGAGTGACTGAGCGTCTTACCAGCACTAGGATACCCGAATTAGAGATTAGGCATACCCTTAATTGATATAAGGGTTCATTCATGTGTGTATGAGGATTTAATTTTAAAGTTAAAGATCAGATGGGAGGGAGTCATTTTCCGAATACAATTGCTCCATGAAAATATTCAACATTTTGACATTCCATATTCGTATATGGTGAGAGCAGGAGCTGACCAAGTTCATAAATCACTGCAACGAGATAAAAGCAGCCACGGTTGCTAACAAGGATGGAGGGCAGTTGAGTATAGTCAAGCTACCCCCACAATCTTCTGCTGATGCCAAGGAATAGAAACATAATACAAGTGATGGATTGATGATGCATCGTTTTGAACGAGTAGTGCACATCCATTTGTAGGTTGTTTTTGTTGTAAAATTCGATTTTGATATTCATTATGCACTTACTCTTGCATTCTTTTTTCTTGAAGTAAAAAAGCTTCATCTTTTTACGGCAGCAGTTTTCTCGAGTCGCTATTTACTGAAATTGTATTCAATATTGAGATGAGCTATTTCAGGCAACAGAAGTGAAGCATGACCATAGCCCCTATACAGCCGTCAAGTAACATATTATCTCTTTCATTATAAGCACATTTATCTACCTATTCACTCGTTGGTTATCCGTGAATGAAATAAGTTCATTTTGGAGGTTGTTCCACAGTGCGACAGTAATTTAATATTAATTTAAGAAATTTTAACTTAAAATATTATATAAATTTATAACATTTTGAAAAGATATATTTTGGGTTTAAGGTCTACAACCGAAAAATGTTAAAAAATGTAATACTTTTTGCTACAGTTTATGCAACCTAAAAATTTAGATTCTTGATAAAATTTTCAATTGCAATTTATGTCAACTTTAACCTTGATCCTTAAATATTACAAGGCATCTGTCGTTCACTCCTTCTATGGTCCTATCGTTGGAGCATGGTAACTGTTTCATTCCTTATTGTAGGATTTCATTTGTCCGATTATCACATAACATGTCATTGCACGAAACCCTCAAATCTTATTTCTTATATTGCACATTTAAAAAAAATTAATATTTTTTATTTTAAAATGAAGTAAAAAGTAATTAAATTTGTATCACGTGTCCATTACTCATTTAACATGATATTGACAGTTTTTTTTTTTTGACATCAACTAGATTTTATTTAAGAGAAAATCGCCTCAGTGACCAAAAAAAAGTTATAATATACGATTTTAACCAACTTTTTTTGGATTTGCCAAAATGACCAACAAAATCGCAACGCGAAATAAAAATCGCAACGCGATCCCCAGAATCGCAAATCAGTTTTCAAAATCGCAACGCGATTCTTGAAAATCGCAATGCGATAGTACAAATTCGCATTGCGATTTTCTAGAATCGCAACGCGAATATGAAAATCGCAATGCGAACACATAAATCGCAACGCGATTCTTACTATCGCAACGAGTATCCGTAAAAATCGCAACGCGTATCCGTAAATCGCAATGCGTATCCGTATATCGCAACGAGTATCCGTAAATCGCAACGATAATCCGTAAATCGCAACGAGAATCTATAAATCGCAACGATAATCCGTAAATCGCAATGAGAATCTGTAAATCGCAACGATAATCCGTAAATCGCAACGAGAATCTGTAAATCACAACACTGAAATTTTGGGTATATAACACTGAAATCATAAACTAAATCCCTAAATCGCAACTCATTCCTTCTCCATCTATCACTCTCTCCGGCGACATCCGTTCCTATATCCAACGACATCCTTCCCAATCCGGCAACAGGTTTTAGTTTCGCAGCTCGTCTGTTTAGTAAATTAATTTACAACCATGAAATCATCTAATGTTGATCATGTTTGGATAGATTTGTGTTTTGGAGGGTCATGGGATAATGTTCATGGTGTTTTACAATATATGCCTTTACCCATGAATCTTCAACTAAAATTGTCTTTACAAAAGTTAACTTATGAAACTCTAATGCTACGTGTTTCAAATAAATTGAATTTAGAGCCCCTAAGTGGATTTAGGCTATCTTATCAGAGAAATGGTAAAGTTTATTTGTTAACCGACAATGAAGATGTTGAACGATTCATTGCTTACATTAGTGTTTCACAAGATGATGTTACATTGTATGTTGTTGAACCTAGAAGTAGTATTGTTGGGTCAGTAGCGGGTAGTAATCAACTAAGTTTTTCTCAAAACCCACAACCTTTCTCTAATCCAAATCCCAATCAACTTTCAGCACCAAATTCCGGTTTTCGTATTGACCAGTTAGACGATGATGAGCCAACAGAAAAAATTGTGAGTACTAGTCAGTATTCGAAATTTGGTCTTGGTCAATATCCGGACTTTGATATTGGTCAATACACGGATTTTGATGATGTTTCAGAAGAAGAAACAGACCCTGCGTGTAATGATTTTGATATTGGTCAATACCCGAATTTTGATGATGAAACAGCCGTTGCCGAAGAATGTATTGTTGATGATAATGAGGAGGAAGTTACGACTGTGAATGAACATGTTGAACATCCATTCTATAATTCATATAATCCTGAAGAAGAAAAAGAAGAAGAAAAAGTCCCCGAAGAAAAGAAAATGCCACGGGCGTATAACTGGAATATGCCAGAATTACTTCAGATACCGGAAGAAGAGTTGGTAAAGAAAGCAGTTGATTGTTACACAAAAGTTATTCGTATCAAGAAAGATGATTGTTTTGATACAAAGGAAGACTTGAAGATAGCTTTGTATACGAAATGTGTGGAAGATGGCTATCAACTAAAAGTTAACAAATCAAGCAAAGATCGTTTAGAAACAAGGTGTATGATTGACAAAAACTGTATGTGGCGTATGATTGCAAAGAGAATAAAAGATTGCGAAATGTTTCAAGTTAGGACTTTTATTGATAAACATACATGTTCAAGAACCCAAGTTTTTCCTCACCATAGACAGGCAAACAAAAAGGTGTTGGGTGGTTTCTGGCTGAGTTAATGTTTTTGAATGGCAGGGTATATCGGGGACATGAAATTATGACTGACATGAATGCTCGGTTCAAGATTAGTATATCATATTCTCAAGCTTGGAGAGCCAAATGTTATGCCTTGGAATTGTTGAGGGGGTCGCCAGAAGCATCGTTTGCCCAACTGCCGGCTTATTGTCACAATTTAAAGCTGAAAAATCCTGGGTCGGTAACTCATATCAAAACAGATAGAGATGGACGCTTTGAGTTGCTGTTTATCACCATTGGTGCTACGGTTAGTAAATCAATATAATTTTGTTGACTCATTTTTGTTAGTTACATGCATTTCACATTTAAATGATTATATTTCTTGTGTATATTATTTTGTAGATTCGTTCGTTTATTACTTGCATGCGCCCAGTTATTATAGTTGACGGAGCACATTTGAAAGGTCGATACCTTGGAGTAAACTTATTAGCAGTAGCCATGGATGCTAACAATGGGATATTGCCAATAGCTTACGGGGTTGGCAAATCTGAAACCTCTGATTCATGGACATGGTTTATGGGGCATCTTAGGGATTGCATAGGTCCTATTAGCAATCTGACAATCATATCCGATAGGGAAACTCAATTGACAACGCTGTTAGAAGGTGTTTCCCAGATGCTTTTCATGGAATTTGTGGTGTTCATTTGTATAGAAATCTAAAATCAAGGTCTGCTGGTATAAAAAAGCACAAATGGACATACTGGAAGGCTGTAAAAGCTTATCGGGAAGTGGATTTCAATAAGCATATAAATTGTTTAAGACGTGTTTTGCCTCAGTGTGCTCAAACACTAGAAGATGTCGGGTTTGAAAGATGGTCAAGAGTACATCAACTTGGAGCAAGATATGGTTTCATGACGTCTAATAGTGCAGAATCAATCAACGCTCTAAGTCGTCATTCCCGGAAATTACCCATTACTATGTTAATGGAGTTTTTTCGAGCCTCTATTCAACAGTGGTACTACAAGAAAAGAAACCATGCAGGTATTATTTCTTTGAATTCGTAACTTATCATATTTATATTTTACTAAGTATTGTTTATTTAAATTTACAGGAACATTGGAACATCGTGTTACACCATGGACTGAAAAAAAGATAACGAAACGTGTTGTGAAGTCAACGTCATGGAGAGTTGAACCATGTTCAAACACTTTGTTTCAAGTACTGGATAATAACTTAAATGGGCTAGTCGATCTAAATGCAAAGACGTGTAGTTGTATGAAATGGCAAACATCTGGTTATCCGTGTGGCCATGTTATAAAAGTTGCTCTTCATTTAAACCAAGATGATTCAAGCGCATACGCTATGGATTGCTACACTACAGAAGTTTATCGACAGACTTATGCCGAGATTGTCTACCCTATTCCACATCCTTCTGAGTGGGACATACCAGATGACTTACAAACAGTTTTGCCACCAGCCATGGACAGAAGGCTACCTGGCCGACCAAAAAGTCACGATCGTATACCGTCTAAGGGTGAAGAGAAGAAGAGATCGACATGTAGTCGGTGCAAGGAAAGTGGTCATACAAGGTTGACATGTGGATCACCAGTGCCATCAAAATCATCTTTTCCTCTACCAAAATATGGATCCTCATCAAAATCCAAAGCTCATATGGTGTCAAGCAAAAGGCAATCATCTTTAAAATACCAATCACAATTGGCTTCACCTTTTGGGACTGTTAACTTAGGTGATTTTTAAATGCAAACGTTGTATTATGTGGATTTTATGTGTGAACTTTTAACATTTTCAGTTGAATTAATGACTCAGGCAAACCATTTTGACTTAACCAACTCTTGTTATTCAGTTGTTATCACTATTAGGCATGCATTTGACTATCGCAACACGGAAATTACAATCGCAACGAGAGAATCGCAATGCGAAATGAAAATCCCAACATGAAAATCGCAATGTGAAATGAAAATCGCAACGAGAGAATCGCAATGCGAAATGAAAATCGCAATACGAAATGAAAATCGCAACGAGAGAATCGCAATGCGAAATGAAAATCGCAATGCGAAATGAAAATCGCAACGAGAGAATCGCAATGCGAAATTAAAATCGCATTGCGATTCTCCCGTTGCGATTTTCATTTCCGCATTGCGATTTTCATTTCGCATTGCGATTCTCTCGTTGCGATTTTCATTTCGCATTGCGATTTTCATTTCGCATTGCGATTGTCAATTTTGCCTTCAACATAATGCAGATTGAAATCAACAAAATCAACCATTACATTTCAATCAATTAAACAAGCACAAATAAGAATTATATTCGCATCAATTACACAAATCAACTTTTACAAATCATCTTTTACAAATCAATTAAACAATCAAAAAATAAGCAATAATTCTTATTTCCGATCATCTACTATTGAATCAACTTTTACAAATCAATTAAAAAATCAAAAAACAATCAATTAAACTATTGAATCAACTTTTGCAGCCATACATCA